CTACTACTGCTACTGCTACTGATACTCTGCTTCTGCTACTGCTCGTGCTCCGGCTCCTGCTCCTGCTCCTACTATTGCTACTGCTGCTGGTACTGGTACTGGTACTTCTATTTCTACGGCCACTGCTACGACAATAACTACCACTACTACCACTACGACGGCAACCACTAGTACTATCACTACCACTACCGCTGCCCCCTCCCCCTGCCCCTGCCCGTCGCTGCCGCACCGCTACCCCTACCGTTACAGTTACGGCTTCCGCTACTGCTACTGCGACGGCTGCTGCTACCACTTCTTCTGCCACTACGACTACCACTGCTACTGCCACTGCTGCCACTATTACCACTACCACTACGACTACCTACTGCTGCTCCACTGCTACTACTACTACTACTACTACTAGTACTACTACTGCAACTACTGCCACCACTACCACTACCACTACGACGGCGATGACGAGACTACTGTTAGTAGAAGTGCTACCACCGCTGCTGTGACTGCTGCTACTGCTACTACGACTCCTCCTCCTCCTCCTCCTCCTCCTCCTCCTCCTCTTGCTGCTGCTAGTCATCGCAGACCGCCTCCTCTAAATCTTCTTTTGCATGCTCACGTTCAGCATAAACGCCGCCACTGCCATCATGGTCACGACTGTGCTAAACAAATGTCGGGCTATGCGGGCGACACTTATCCAATGTGCTGCAAATGCAAAACAGATTTTCGTCGCATGCAGCTCGCTAGCCAACAAAGCAGGCTCAAACACAGACATAGGTCTATTTTGGTGCACTGTTGGTCAAAGAGGCCTCAATGACTCAGAGTTTGCTATAGTTGTCGGAAAATGCAAAGCTTTCACGATTCTGTTTCAAGTGTCCTGCATGAAATCGACGACGGTATCACTGGGGACTTCGTGATCTGCTGCGCCGTTCTGAATAAGTACACGACAATCAGTGTTGTACCTGGAGGCTTCAAGGAAGATGCTTTTGTGCAGGGTCCGCCGCTCATTGTTCTGTACACTGCGTTGCCTCAAAAGTCGAAAGGCTCAGGTGGGTGGCACAAGTGAACAAAGACACCTTCGCTGCTGGGAGCACGACTGGATAGTTGATCCCAGGGGGGCATTGTGTGCAGAAGTGCAAGCTCGGTCAACGCAGCCTTCTGACTGCCGAAAAGCTGCGTGTTGGGAATTGCCAGTTCCCTGGCATAGTCCTCCCTGGACATACGTTTCCTTAGCACAGACTGGTCCATCCTGCGTGAAGCCCGCAACCCCAACCTCCATGCTCATGCTGTGCTGGTGAGGGAGCGTAAAACTATTCTAATCAGTTTAATATATGTACAACAACACACCACGATGCGCAACAGACATTTGTCAGTAGTCAACATAGATCAGCGCCCTCCCGAATCGTGCCACATGGGTAAACATAAACTGCGGATGCAACTCGCTAAAGCTGAGGTAAGGCGCAATTACCAGGTTTTTGTCAATAATTTTACTTCTTTCGTTATTTAAATCCTCGGGCATCCGCCTTAGGAGATATATGAATAGGGAATTCAAGTATTTCAATAATCTTGAAAACATGAGGCCTGAATAAACAAACGATTGAAATCGGAATGTGGTAGTTATTTCAATTGTCTAAATTCCTCGGGAATCCGGCTACATTAAATAATCGAAATAATTAAAACGGGAGATTTAGTTGTTAATTGACCCCCGGATTAATTGTTCAATTATTTCAATTCTTTGATTTACAATAACAGTTAATTGAATCAGGGCGTCTAATAAGCCCTAGAGGAGCTTCATATGTGTATATTATATATATATAT